GTCGTCCCCTTTCTTTATGTGCTTTACATGTCCTGAGTAGATGGCGAGAGCGTTAGTCGTGGATAGTTTAGATCCCCTGAACAGTATAGTTAGTGTTTTGGCCTGTGTGCCACAGATGTTGAACATACTAGATGGATGGTTTTAGACTTTTCCTGTGGGTTCACGTTGGGGTGAACGTGGCATAACACTCCTTAGTGTTCCCTGTTTTATAATAGAATTCCGCTGTGTTTATGTTTTATGTTATATGTTGGTTAGTTTGCCTTGAATATTTAAGCTTTAAATTGGTATGAAAATCGGGGGTGTTACAAACCCGATAGGTTGAGAGCGATCGGCTATACGGGCAGTTTGATTGGTTGAGAACAATCGACTGTTATAATAATTGGGATGCGGTCCGTAGTTTGGTTGCGATCAAACATATATAATAATAGGGCTGCGGTCCATAGTTTGGTTTCGATCAAACATATATGATAAGAATGAGCTGCGCTTCATTGATTGGTTGCGATCAATCGTTTGGTTCTTCCTTGTGCCGCTGTACAAGTTAAAGTGCTGCAGGGCCATGTCAGAGCTATATGCACTGACCCCTTGACAATGGAACTCAAGGTTAGGGTCATGTGAATGGTTCTGCGGCACCACCATATGTGTGGGCACCAATGCGTGTCTTATTGTTGATTGTTTGACTGTGATGATAACTGGGTATTGATATTGTTTGTATTGTGTAGTCTTGTGACCTTAGGATGCATGCTAGAATCATTATGTTTAATTATATTGAATGTATCTGCTATTGCTTGTTGAGTCTGTTCACGGATTTAAATTAGAGTTACTCAGGATTATATATGTATTCCAGTTTCAAAATAAGTTTCTTATATCTACCTATATTGTACTTAACGCGTTGGAGTGGGTTACCAGCATTATTCGCTGACAGTTGTTATACCGAATGTTTTTCAGGTGATGAGCCTTAGTTTCGGAGCGCGCTAGTCAGAGCCTTGGACTTAACTTAGTTAGTAGTGGCCTGCGTGCCTTGGGATTGTATTGAATATTAATTTGAGGATTTCTTATGTTTAGTAGGTTAGTCTGTGCACCTAGGTTCTCAAACCTAGGAGTGGCATATCACCCCGACTATCATGGATAGCTTCATGCCCTACTTGAGATTTTGGAATATATAGATAATATGTGTCATTATATGCTCATTAAGAAGTTGCTAATGGAGTTATTTATCTATTATCTTAGTCCATATAAATGGTATAAAGATGATCAAAATACATAAAGAGTTTAATGATAGAAGCTCATACCTAACGACGGAGTTTGAGATGAAAGACTTGGGAAACTCAAGTATGATCTCGACCTGCAGATCGAGTATTTTCTTGAAGGAATTTTATACCAGTTAGCCTATATCTAAAAATTCTTTTCACATGTTTATATGGACAAGTGTCATGTTTTTATCAAACTAAAGGTTGCCTAATAATCTCTTGAAGTAGATAATGAACCGTTTAGACTCGGTGATGATACCTTGAAAGTCCCTTACTTCATTGTCGATGGAGCACCATTTTAGAACCAGAAGTTCCATAATCGCAACCGGCATGATATTTGCGATGAAATTGCTAGCAACATCTAGGGATCCTTTTATAATGAAATATTGGAATATTGTTTAATATATTCTCCGAGTTTCAAAAGATTTTGGCATTTATGTGAGAAACAAATGTATGGTTTGATAGGCTACTTGGGTACTGACTATTTTGTTTGATCCCCGTGATGCCAAATCCCAAACTGGTTAAGCAATGAATTACTCTCAGTGTCCTAAATGAGGACAATAACGCTTGTATTGCACAAATGATATATAAGTATGTTAAAGAATATTTGACAAAGCATATATAACGTCAAAATTCAACCTATATAAGCTTAGAAGAGTCACAAAATTATTGTGCAAGATATTCATTCTAGTGACAATCCAGAAAATTTATCCAATCCATTTCTACAAATTTTTGGAAATATATTTTATGTGTGGGAATTGAAGATTGTTATCTTGAGGGGGAGTATCATTTTACATGGATCAATCCTGAAGATTGGGTCTTGACGACTAACAGTTGTACTCTTTTTCTTTAGTTAAGTTTTTTCCAACTGGGTTTTTCTTTAATCTAAGGTTTTTAATGAGGCAGCTAATCTAAAACAAGAATTCACATACATCATGCACTCTTTTCCTCAACTAGTTCTTTCCCACTGCGTTTTTTTAGTGCGGTTTTTAACGAGGCATGAGTATGATATAGTAATGTAAAAAGGGAGAATGTGCAAATAAATACTTAAATAGACAAACCCCAAAATCTTGAAGGTTATACCCTGAAGGTTTATGATTGGTTTATGGTTTTACTCATTTTTCTTTCCTTTAGCTAAGTTTTTTCCCACTAGGTTTTCGGCGCGAATAGTCGCGGCTTCCCTTCTCTCGTCGATGAGGTGGAGTTCTGTCCTATGGTTGTCCTCGTTTAGGCCGGGGTCGTATGCTTGGGCTCGGTAAGAGGGTAAGACTGCTTCGGCGGGAGCTCGAGCTTAAAAACCGTAGGATAAGGAGAATGGGGTCTCCCCGTGGCCCTCCTCGGGGTGGTGCGGTAGGTCCATAGGACGACGTCCAACTCCTCTACCCACGCGCCCTTCGCTGATTCGAGATTTTTTTGGAGACCGTCGACGATGGTTCTGTTGACATTCTCAACCTGACCGTTGGCCTGGGGGTAGGAGACCGCCACAAGGGTGTGTGTTATGTGCCATTGGGCGCAGAACTCACTGAATTCCTTGCTTTCGAACTGGTTACCGTTATCCGTGATGACCTGCATTGGGACTCCAAAGCGACACAAGATGTTCTTATATACGAATTGTTTGCACTTGGCGCTTGTGATGTTGGCCAGGGGTTCGGCCTCCACCCACTTGGTGAAGTAGTCCACCGCCACTATCAAGTACTTCCTCTTTCCGGAACCCATGGGGAGGCTCCGACCAGGTCTAGGGGTGTAAACGAATCGAATCGAGTCAAATATCTCAGTATTCGATTCGAATTCGACTATATATTCAAATATTCGTATTCGTTTAATATTCGAATATCAAATTTGATTCGTATTCGATTCGACCAGTTTATTCGAATAAATTTGATTCAACTCGAATATTCGAATTTGAAATTTCTAACTTAATTTTTTACAAAATTCTCTAATAAATTAAGATAAAATGTAATAAAAATTTATATTTAAATTGAATAAAATATTCGAATACTATTCGAATCGAATACACTCTAATTCGTATTCGTATTCGAGAAATATTCGAATCGAAAAAAGTATTCGAATTCGAATCAACATATTCGAATTCGAATCACGAATCGAATTTTTTTTATTTGATTTGTTTACACCCCTAGGGATGACCGAGCTGACTGGGGTGTAGTTGGTGGCCGGTCGGCCCGAGCCGATATACCACTGTTGACAGGTTGGGCAACTCATGGCGTAATCCGCGCACCCCTCGCCCATCTTGGGCCAAAAGTAACCCTATAGGATGGCTCTCCGGGCCATGGTGTGGGCCCCCTGGTGGGCAGCACAGGTACCCTCGTGGATCTCCTCCATGACCGACCTTGCCTCGTCGGGGTACAGGCAGCGCAGTAAGGTGCCATTGTAAAACTGCTTGTAGAGGATATCCCCGATGAGTAGGTAGGTTGGGGCCCTCCTCTGCAAGAGTTTGGCGTCCGCCTCGTCTAGGGATAGGGCGTCCGTCTTCTTGTATTCTTTGAGGTGGTCTAGCCAACAAGCGGGCCGGTCCTATACGGGAAGGACCGAGTAGGCCTCTAGGCTGGACTTCGTGAGGTCCTCCACTCGGGCAATCCTGGAGACGTGCTCGGGGACCCCCTGGCCGAGCTTGGAGAGCATGTCTGCGTCTGTGTTTTGTTCCCTCGGCACCGACAGGACCTCGTGGTGTATCAGCTGTCCTATTAGTTGTAGTACCATGCCTAGGTACCTCCTCATCCTGTCCTCATTGGCTTCGAACTCACCTGTAACCTGGCCCACCACCAGCCTGGAATCATACCATATGTTTAGCTTCTTGGGCTTCATGCTTAGGGCGAGCCGAAGGCCCCCCAGGATGGCCTCGTACTCGGCCTCGTTGTTCGACAATTTGAAGTGGAAACGGAGCGCATAGTAAGCCCTGAAGCCCTTAGGGGTTATTAAGACGACCCCGCCTCCGCATCCTTTTGTACTAGAGGACACGTCTGCTGATAAGGTCCACCACTCTTCCTCCTCATTTCAGGCCTGCTCTGTGGCCTCCCGAGCGGTGCACTCTACTATGGAGTCGGCGTGTGCTTGTTCTTTGATAGCAGGCCGCGGCTTGAACTGGATGTTGTACTGGCTCAAGTGCATGGACCACCTCACCAGTCTGCTGGACGGCCCCGAGGCCCTCAACATAAACTCCAGGGGCTGATTTGTCAAGACATGGATGGGGTGAGCCTGAAAATAATGATGTAGTTTCTTTGCGGTCACGTCTACTGCGAATATGGCCTTCTCTGTGGGGGAGTACCTGAGTTCGGCTCCGCGGAGGGCTCTACTCGCGTACTAGACGGGGCGTTGTATGCCCTCGTCGTCTCGGACCAGCATGGAGCTGATCTCGGCCTGTGATATGCCCAAGTACAAGTATAAGGGCTCCCCTCTCTTGGGTTTGGCCAGTGGGGATAGCGACATTAGGTAGGCCTTGAGGTCGTCGAAGGCCTTCTGGCACTCGGGGGACCACTTGAACCCGGTATTCTTCTTGAGGAAGGCGAAGAAGGGAAAGGACCTCTCGGCCAACCGTGAGAGGAACCAGCCGAGGGCCGCCAGCCTGCCGTTTAGGCGTTGGACCTCCCGGAGAGACCTCGGAGGCTCCATGTCCAGGATGGCCCTGACCTTGTCGGGGTTGGGCTCGATACCCCTCTTTGAGACCATGTAGCCCAAGAACTTCCCCCCATGCACTCCAAAAGTGCACTTCTTGGGGTTCAATCTTAAATCAAAACGCTACATAATGTAAAATACCTCGACGAGGTCGTCGACGTGGCCCTCTGCCTTCCTGCTTTTTACTATCATATCATCCACGTAGGCCTTCATGTTGCGGCCCAAGACCTGTTTGAAGACCTTGGCCACCATCCGCGTATAGGTAGCCCCCGATTTCTTGAGCCCGAAGGCCATGACTCGATAGTAGAAAACCCCTTCGTGGGTCGTGAAGGCCGTCTTCTCCTCGTCGTCCTCCTGCATAAAAATCTGGTGGTACCCCCGAAAGGCGTCCAAGAAGCTCATGAGGGCGCAACCTGCCGTCCCGTCTACTAACTGATTAATATTTGGTAGTGGGAAAGGGTCCATGGGGCAGGCCTTGTTGAGGTCGGTGTAGTCCACGCACATTCTCCATGTGGGTGGTTTTGGGGCGAGGACTACATTGGCCAGCCACCTGGGGTATAGGACCTCCCGTATGTGTCCGATCTCGAGAAGGGTGTTGACCTCCTTTCTCACGAACTCCCTCCTCTTCGCGGAGAGGTATCTCTTGTGTTGTTGCACTGGCTTGATTGTGGGGTCGATGGCGAGCCGATGGGTGATGACGTCCCTACTAAGGCCTGGCATGTCCTCGGGTCCCCATGCGAACACCTCCTTATAGGTCCTGATGGCGTCAATGATGCGGGTCCGGAGCTCGGGAGGGAGTCCGGTTCCCACCTTCACCACGCGGTCGGGGCGGCTGAGGTCGAGGACGACCTCTTCGGTCTCTACTATGGGCTCGGCTCGTGGGTATCCCTCTTCCTCCTTTAGCGCCTTTTCAGCTATGGCGTGTACCTAAAGGTCCCGTTTGCCTATTCGCCGGCGCGCTCGAAGGTAGCAGCTCCAACTGATTCTTTGGTCTCCTCGGGCGACTCCGACCCCGGTCGGCGTGGGGAACTTGAGGCACAGGTGTTCCGTGGAGATCACGCACCTAAGGTCCTCGACCCCCATATACCCCGCGGGTGGGGCGGCGGGTGGACGCCTACCCGCCGTTCCGCCTGCAGGTACACTCCTGTACCACAAATAATCCCTTCGGGGATTTTCAACACCAAGCTCAAATTCAAGTCCAAAACATGCTAAATCTCACCAAATACAACAAAATGACTTGAATCAAAGGAATAGCCAAGCAATGGCATACAAGAACCCTAATAACAAGCTCTAGATATGCATTTTCACAAGACAATGCATCAACACTCACATTTCATAGCAAAATCACATGTAGAATCCAAGAAATCATCATATAGGTAAGCAAAATAGTTTTTGTAGAGCATGGGTTACCTCTTGTAGACAAAAACCTTCACTTGACACTTCACCAAGCTCCTAATAAGGTTCACCTTCCACACCCACTTCAAGAACACACCAAAAGATCATAAAGATTCTATCTTTAAGGAAAGACACATTAGAAAACACTAAAAACACAAGATAAACATAGATCTTACCCTCCTAGATGCTCAAAGGTAGGAAAGGTGGAATTTTGAAGACAAACTTTGAGGATTTGGTAATGCTCCAACTTGGCTTGGAAGAAAAGCTATCTAACTTTTAGAGAGAAGGAGGAGCTCAAGTTTAGGAAGTGTAAGGGGAAAGAATGAAGGGTGATCCTCTAGGTTAGCTTGCAATTCTAACATAGGGTGAAATGTCTTGATTACCCTTACTAAAATGAAGAGGTGTAAGTGAACAAGGGAACTACACATAAAGTTTTAGGTACAACACTTGACTTTGGGGTTGACTAGTCAATTACTAGTCCCCTACTATTGAATTTTCAGGAATTTAAAGAATTAAATTATCAATTGGATTATGATTAATTACTTAATTAATCACTTAATTGAATTTGGATTACGGGGTGTCACATGGGGGGCCTCGCGCCTCGGAGGGCGAGGTGCTTGGTGTTCTTCCTCGGAATTATCATGTGTATTGGCAGTGCACAATACCGAGTCCACCATGCTTATCATGGACCATGTTCTAGAAAATGAAGATTTATTCGCAGACACCTGTACCAGAACAGAAGTTTTAAAAGAAGAGATTGGTGATCTGAATCAAGAAGTTGAATCACCTGAAGAAGAAGAAGAGATGTAACTCGTTGATACACTCGTTCTCACAAATCCGAGAAGGAGTCTATTCAGATGTCCTCAAAATATTGTGCAGATAAGTGATCAAGAAGATGGCTTATTTACTTCTTTATTTGCCAAAGTTGCCGAATCCATTGATGTTGTTTGTCAAACCATTGGAGAGAAGTTGGTTGATCAAAATTAATTAATGGAACACAACACAAGGATACCCGAGTCAATCTGAAGGAACTAATGGAGTATCAAAATAGTTTGAAGACTCAGATTGACAAAGCAGAAAGAATCTTGAAAGGAGAAGTGACAAAAGGATTACTTGAAGTGATCCAACTTATGAAGAATGAACGTGAGGCTGCTGAAAAGATCCATAATGAACGTCACTTGAGACAAATGAAGGCGATTCAAGATCAAGAAAGTCGAACCAACAAACTTGAAGTTGAGCTAACAGTTGCAAGAAACAAGCTGGACAACATACAAGCTGTTTCTATTGAAACACACAATGGTGTTGAAACTATGAAGATAAACCAAGACCGAGATTTTAAGACCCTTGCATTTTTGGTTGATAATGCCAAAAGGGGTGAAGAAATTCTCAGTCACTTGGCTTTGCAACAACAAGAATTTATTCTTGGAAGTAAAAAACAGCCAGTAACACCGACCCAAGGTCGAGGCCGAAGCCGCGGACAATCCTCGCAAGGACCATCTCAGATTGGTTTTGCTCAGTTCGCGAGTCCTAGTCTTGGTAAAAGTACATCGAAGGCTGCTGAATCTTGTGGCTGGTTTGAATGCTCAAAAGGTCCCACCACTCAGCAAACAATATGGACTAAGGAAAATCTACCAAGCATGATCAAGAAATGGCCTGCAGCCGATCAAGCCCAATGGATCTCGGACAAGAATAAAGAAGAAGAAGCTAAAAGGAAAAGAACCGAGATGTGGTATGAACTCAGAGATTTTACAGGAAACATAGGCATGAACCTTGGAGATGAAAGAAGCTTCGAGGAATGTGTTGTATGGTGGGAAGCTGGAGTTCTTCCGAGCACCAATATTAAGGAAGCTTTTGGTTATTACATGGCTGGGCAAGTTACAAAGAGATTTCAGAATGCGAAGTTCAAAGATGATATCTTCAAGCTAAGAGAACATGTCAAGGAAATTTTGAAGAAAGACATGGGTGTGAAGAAACCCAAAAGGTAATCTGGATATTCTCTTAAGCTAATGTTTTCGCTATTTTCAAACATCTGTTGCATTTTTCTCTAAATATTCGAAATATCTCAATAATAATTTCCCATGGTCTATTTTGAGTTTAGAATTTTATTTGTCTTTTGTAATTAGACCACCGTGAATTAAAAAAACAAGAAATGTCAAACGCACATCAAAATTAAAATTGATCAAGAAAAATAATTCAAGATGCGTTTAGGAGCTTGTCTAAAAATTAATTCACAAGTTGCTTTTGATTGTGTCTAGAAAACCCTTTGTTAAACCCATCTTGGCTTTGTCAAATAAAATTGAGCAAAATGATTATTTGTCAAAGAGTTAAAGTCAATGACTGAGTATAGGTTTTGGCATTATCAAAAGGAGGGAAATTGTTAGGAATAAAGTGTAATGGTTTTGATATGCCAAATTTGTATTTGTAGATCCCCCAATTTTATTTGTTTAGGTCTAGTAGAGTCTTAGACCATGATCGGGAAATTATTTAATCAACAAAAGAGAAAACTGAGGAAGATGCATTAAAATAGAAGAAGAAGAAGATATCAAGCCTAAAATCAAGAATTTGTCTGGTGATAATGACAAATCAAAGAAAAAGATGTAAGATATGAACTTCACGTCGATGCTACTCAGAAAGAATTCCCAGAAGGATTTTCGTTGAAGAAAATCAAGATTTGAAGTTTGCATGAATTTGACTTGAAGATCAAGAATCTATGGAAAGAACGGAATACATCAAAGAAGTTTGGAGATATAACCAAATGATTTTACGGATGAGTTGGAAGATGCCTGATATATTATATTTAATGGCTTAAGTTCGGATCTCACTATCTATAATTTTACAAGGTAAAATTTGAGAAGCCAAAATTAATTAAAGCCAGACGGAGTAGGGCGTCCGCGAGCCACGAGCCAATTCATTTGAATTGGGAGCCCTTATCCAATTCATTTGAATTGGGAGCCCGATTTCCCAATTCAAGTTGGGAGCCAATGCAATTGAAATTAATTAAAGCCAGACGGAGTAGGGCGTCCGTGAGCCACGAGCCAATTCATTTGAATTGGGAGCCCGATCCAATTCATTTGAATTGGGAGCCCAATTTCCCAATTCAAGTTGGGAGCCAATGCAATTGAAATTGGGAGTGAATTGGGAGCCCGATTCCAAAGCAATTGAAATTGGGAGCTAGTTTCACATGGGAATCAATTCAAGTTGGGAGCCAATGCAATTGAAATTGGGAGCTAGTAAATTCAAATTTGGAAGCAAAAAATTGGGAGCTAGTAAATTCAAATTTGGAAGCAATTGAAGACCAGGAGAAGTTTGGGAGCCAGTAAATTCAAATTGGGAAGCAATTGAAGCACCAGGAGAAGTTTGGGTGCCAATTACAAAGGATAAATTCAAATTGGGAGGAAGTTCGAGGTGTCAATTTCAAATGAGAAATTCAAATTGGGAGGAAGTTCGAGGTGTCAATTACAAAGAAGAAATTCAAATTGGGATGAAGTTCGAGAAATTCAAATTGGAAGGAAGTTCAAAGCCAGTTTGAAATATGAGAACACCCAGACGCAGAAGATGAAGAAAACTTAAATTTCTCAGAAAGAAAAATACTAGTCTAACTAGTATGGGATTAAATTGAAGAATATTTTTGAAGTATTTAATTCCCAAACAAACAAGAACCACTACAGAGCTGATCAGAGAAGTCGTTCTACATAAAACTGAGACCCAGAAATTTCCAAGAAACGTGAGAACACCAGAGGAATATCAAATGAAGTTTGGGAACTCATTTACATGAAGTTGAAGCTCTATAAACGGCTAGATTATCTTTCTGACACTTTGCTAGAAGATAAGATAAGATCTCTGACAAAGGATACAAGAATTCAAAAATGAGATCGTCTCTTTCCAACGGGCAGATCTCATTACCAGCTATATAAAGGATGAAGATATGAAAATTTGAAGATAGAGCAAGAAAACGAACTCAAGAGCAAAAGAGCTATATTTGAAAATCTTCAAGTGAGAAAAATAACTCAGAGAGCTTAAAGAGAAAAATCTATAGAGTTCGAAAAGCAGAGCTAAACAGAGCATAAAAGTCAAGTTCTTTACTTGATACATTTAGAGAGAAAAAAACACTTAGAGATACAGAACTATCAAGAGAAATCATTCAAGAGTGTTTAATCTTCATCAACAAAAAACCTGCATCATATTGAAGATCATCTATAGATCTCAGAAGTTGGAAGAAAGAAGAAAACTTGTCTTTGAACAAGTGATATTCCTACGGGAGTGTAGGAAGGGAGGAAAGTAACACGGAGTTGTGAAATCCTGGATTGTCACACAGAGCTGTGAGA